CGGTGATTTTTGAACCAAATGTCAAACCAGTTGCATATAAGAGTTATCCATTCTTCTAGAGAGGAGATTTCGGATTTTGAGGATGTTACTCTGAGTTCTCATACGTATCTCCTTCAACAAGACTCTTACTCTGTATGTTTTACTAGACGACAACCAGATGGCGTTGATGACACATTGGGATAGAAATGTACGTCATTACTCCCCCTGACATCCATTTTATTTTGAGATGTCGAGTTTTCTTACTAGAGTTATGTAAATGTTTTATGCACGGTTGGGGATCATTAATGAAACTTAAAGTTAAAAAAAATCAGTAACATTTAATACTTATATCTAAAATTTATTACATTTACTGCAAATAATAAATCTTGAAGTTACAAATTTCTGTATCCATTATTATTTATGAGAATGAACAGAGAATGATTGAATGATGTGTGGGTCTCTAACTGTTTGAACAGTAAACAAACTCCATCTTCATTCATGTCTTTTTGGAGCTTTGCATCTTGACACACAACAGATTAAACCCTTTATTTCATGTCACTTTTTTCCCTTTTCTATACAGGTCCTCCTTTAACATGTTAAATGTGAGATTTTGAATAAGGCCTCTTAAATTTTGGAGTCTAAATTTACATATGTTTATGGTTTTTTTTATAACCGAAATTATATAGGTTCAAACCATTAATTGTTTGGTTTTAGATTCAGATTGTTAATCGTTTTAGGTTTAACATATTTTTGTTTTTAACATATATATATTCTTTGTTATCTCATTTATGCAATCAGGGGTGCTCAAAACCCGACTAACCCAATGCGAAATAACCCAACCCGAAGCAACTCGATGTCTAATCGAGTTGTAAAATTGTCAAACCGTAGGTATTGAGTTGATATTGAGTTACTATTATTTGAACCCAACCTAACCTGATGAACCCGATATCTTTTTATTTCTTGGATTTAATATGATTGTTGAATTTATATTAATATATACATTAGAAAATTACACTATTATGTATGTTTTTCATATACACATATTTTCAATCTATTTACATCTTTATATAACTAATTCATATATATACATGTCCAGTAACTGTGAACATATATATGTAAATTGAGAAAATTAACTGAATGTAATATACGTAAGAAATATGGATAAGTTGTATCAAATGGTTGATGATGAAAAAGAAATTATAATAGAGAAATAACACATTCAAGGTTGGGTTGGGTTAAAATTTTTCCAAACCGCAAGCATTGGGTTGAGTTGTTCAAATGTCTTCAACCCGATCAACCCAACTAATGAGTACCCCTATTTGCAATGTACTTAAAAGTTTTGGATGTAACAGAACCTCCAAAAAGATTGAAACGTCTCAGTTTCTATATCATTTTGTAAGTATATTTGATAACGTGAAGCACTATTTTTATATGAATATTAACAGTTATAAGTTTTATGACTATTAAATACTGTTAATAGTAGCTATTAAATTCGAGCATAAGATGTTTTAGACCGACTTTGCTCGATAGGCCCTACATGACTGCTACATTATATATCTTAGACCAAAGATATATCATATTCTAAAAATTAAAAGCATGTTACGTTACCAAAGATATGTGTTTTAATTTTATTACAAGATCTGGAGTAAATTATACGTATTTTTTCGTTCTGGTTAAAAGTTTATAATGGACTTTGTCCATTTCTTGAAAATTCAACGTAACGTGTTATTTTGGTTGCGTTTTTTTAACAAGTTATATCTTTGTGCATGGTTGCACTTTTTTAACGAGTTAACAGGTCATTGCGGTTGTCGGTTTCTAATGAGTTTGGTTCATAAATAAATCAATGACTTGGGTCCTGATGTTGAATCAAGGACTCCGCTTGTTGTAAAAACACAACCATAAAGACATAATCTATTGAATTTTTAAAAAGAAAAAGATAATGACCGTTAAAAACATATAACCATAAAGACAAAAAATATAAGTTACTCTAAGATAGATATATATATATACATATATATATATATATACATATATATATATATATATATATATATACTAGTTGTGTACCCGCGCAATGCGGCGGGAACCATGAATTTTAACGATTTTGAAGTTCCATTCGTTTTATAAGATAAGATTTAACGATGATATATGTTACATTTGGTTTTTACATATTAATACAATTTGAATAAATAAGAGTTATGGTTCTAATTACAGACTATCGATGAAAAAAATTGTATGACAGTTTAAAATCCAACATATTTAAACGACTCCACAAATGTATTCGATTTACACCTACAGTAAATAACCAATAAACTTGAGTTTTAAGATAAACACTCAAAACCAATAAAGAAAACTACAAATTTGACAGATCATAAGTCATGGAAAGACAAAAAAAGATGGGTTTTAGAATGAAATTTCAACTGTTTACCCTCTTTCTTGTCCAAAAACTCAGATTAAGGTTGAATTAATACATGTATATATATATTTAAAAAAAACCTAAGAACATATTAAGTCAGAACATATTATACAGTGCAATTTGGACAGCCTAACCCCAAAATATATAGTGTATATATATATATATATATAACTATAAAAATATAAATCGTAAATATTAAAAATATTTTTTCACAATATATATAATATATAATAATATAATTAAGTCAAAAACTATTCAATATTGGACTCATTTCGAAAATATTAACGAGACGATTATAATTGTGTAACTTGTTAAAATAAAAATGTATTTTTTAAACATGTTTTAATTGATATACGATTATGTATATTAATTTGATAAATATTTAAAATGAAACATTTAAAAGTAAAGAACGTAAAGTAAATTAATTAACTAATTATAGGAGTATAAAGTGTAAATTTAAAATTATAATTTTAAAAAAGCGGTTGTGAAAGAGTGAGTGTATGTGAGGGGGTGAGTGTATGTGAGGAGATGAGGGGGTGAAAAATGATATAAAGGGTATCTTGGTCATTTAATATTTTAAGACTTTAAGACTTTTGTTAAATTTGTTTTATAAGATAGTATAGATATATATATATATATATATATATATATATATATATATCTCGATAGACAAATTATGTCATAGTTTAATGTAATTTATTGAAGAAACCTTGCTTCAAAAACGCTAGTTTGGATTATTCGTGTCTACAATCAAAAATATTTTTTTTCTTAATTTACAAAATTATGATATTTATGCTCAATTTTTTTTGTTATATATACTATATTATAAAGCATTTGACAAAAACTCTTAAAAACCATTTTTTATGTATAAAGTATTGTTTACTGATGTATATTATTTAAAATTCAAGATTACAAGTAACTTATGCATAAGTACAAGTTATTAATGCTCTATGTTTGAATTCGTATAACTGACTATGGATAAACATAATCAAATAGATGATAAACTTCTTATTTTAAAATTTAAAAAATGTAAAATATAATTAAGATAATTATTGAGTTTTAACAAAATATTTAATTATTATCTTTATAAAAAAATATATTATTAAACCTAAATTAAGTTAATTTAAATTATAATAAAAAAATTTGAATTAAAAAAATATACAAACAGAAACTTTTAAATAATTAATTTGATACTAATATTGATATATATCTTTTGTAAATTTATATGATATTTTCAAATTTATATTTTATTCAAAAATAAAAACATTATCGCTTTCTCAAAACCACATAAAATCGTATTATATCGACATGGATAAAAAATAAAACGAAACATTGAAATGGAAATATGTCTCGATACATTGCATGAGTACCCTTCTAATAAAATGTAATATATGTGTTTTATTTTTTGTTATAAAATTATAATATATTTTCTTAATTGCGTTAAAAAATTGTTACATTGACAACATTGAAATCTTGAAAACAAGTTTACTAAGATAAGAATCAGAACGAAATATTTTCATTTTAATATAATTTATTTAATCTTAAATATTTAGCTTTTGATAAAAAAATATTAATTTGATTGAAACAAAAGAATACTTATTAAATTATATATAAAATTAAAGGTTATAAAAGATGGCAAAAATATCACTATAAAAAAAAATGTTAGATAATAGACCATTTTATACGACTTAAATTTTTAAGACTAAACAATTGTGTATCATACATAAAGGTATTGGAAGAAGTTGTATGATTTGCATGCCCTAACAAATTTTATAATAAGATGTCTTAATAGGACACTCTCTCAAAAGTGTCTTATATAAAAGCTAATTATGAAACAATTTATTTTAAAAGTGTTCTAAAAAACTTGTTAGGATGCTTAAGTACATTTTTAACGTCTTATTGTAACACTTTTATATAAAAGTATGTAGAATTTATTTGAATATTTTTATACATTTAACGTTTTATATTGTCGATTTTATTATAGTGAAAGATGCATGTCAAACCTTTTTTTTATTAACCTGGATATCAAACTCGTTATGCCAGCCAACTAATCTCAGGACGACCACCTGCTTTGCAGATAGCCCGGAGTCATCGCATGTGAACCTTCGTGGCCACAAGGGGATTTTTATTCCTCATTGGATTTGAACCTAAGACTTCCCGGTACTTTTGATCTTTGAAGTCAAGCTCAAACCAATTAGACACCACATGGTTTCAAACTTTCTCTTCCCAAGTCCCGACATCAACTTTTGTCGACTCCGTTCACTAATTAAACATTAGAAAACAGATTAATTATTACTACAATTTCGATATTGTATAATTACGCTTAGTACTATGCACATCCAAACATCGTGTCATTCAATTTCAGGTAGGACCTTCGAATGGCTTGTAAAGCATTACCAACCTTCATTACATTTGCTTTGTTATAAAATCTATATATACATGCACTTTGTTTTAGCTTTTGGTGTTTTTATGCAGTCTTTTTACCTTTTCATCTTTTTGGTCATCTCTCTCTCTCTAGATCTCTCTCTCTAGATCTTTCTCTCTCTCTCTCTCCATATAATCTACTTACCTATTCATCTGGACATTGCTTCTGGCATTTGAAAACATGAGCAATGATCAGTCTTACTCCACTTACATGAATGCTTCATGGCTTATTCTCAACCCTCACTATCAATATCTCTCTTCTTCTTCTGCTGCTGCTGCTTCTTCTTCTTCTTCTGTTCATCCTCCTCTTTCATATTCTTCTCTCACTAACTACCATCAACTGTCACCTCCCTCTCCACCTCTAAGAGAAGCTCTTCCTCTCCTCAGCTTAAGCCCAACAAGAAGACCTAATCCTAACCATCAACAAACCACTAGTACTACCAATAATGCTTGTAGTACAACTACCACAGCCATGGGAGTTCATCGTCACAAGAATACTGACAATAATTGCAATGACAATACTGTAACTGTATCTTTACATCTTGGACTCCCAAGCCTTACACTTTCTGAAGCTGATCTCATTTCAAGACTCTCCTCCACCAACGATGATTATAAACAAATGGAAGGGGGAGAAGATGAGGAAGAAGAAGAAGATCAAGATGGTACAAACAGTGTTGGGCTTGTTACAAGCACACTCAATAAGGGTCAGTATTGGATCCCTACTCCATCTCAGATTCTCATTGGTCCAAATCAGTTCTCTTGTCCTCTCTGCTTCAAATCTTTCAACAGATACAATAACATGCAGGTTTTGAACCCTAAATCTCTATAATTATATACATGAATTCTTTACTTATCCATTCATTTGAATTTCTTAACCCCTTTTTCTTGTTTGCATATATAAAATACAACCAAAAGCAGACCTCTTTCTTTCTGCACTTCTAAATCTTGCTAATTTTCAACCTCTTCACCATTTCCAGTCCATATAACATGGGTCTTTAGGGTTAGGGTTAGGGTTAATCACCTCTTATTTATTCTTTCAATTCTGCATGATTTGTGAAATTGTGGTCTTTTTGGGGATTTGAACAAATCTAGACTTTCATCCAACCGATAAAGATAGCAAATTTGGTCAGAAGCGAAGGGGGTTTATATATATATACATATACATATATATATATATATCTGATTGGACAAGACATGTTATGCTTTTTGTTTCTTGGAGTTTGTGTTCTTTCTTTTACTTCTTGTCTTTGCCAACTGAAAGGAAAGCAAGCTTCATGGCCATTAATCTGTTACATCTCTTATCATTTTGATTAAAAACCTACATGGAAAGTCCCACCTTTAAACCCCACATAGAACTCTTGTGTGGTAGGGAGAGTTTCAGGTTTCATATTCACTATAATTTCTTAAAGATTGCATTTAGTTTTTGCTAAATTCAACCATGATATAGTTAACAAAAACCACTTGAAGATGAAACATGATGCAGGAGTCAGAATAAACCAACTGACCTCTGTCATTCGTGCATTTCCATGTCTGTACGATCTAAAAGTAATGTCATTATTTACTAAGATTGTTGTTAACTAAAGATTGTTACTCCAAACTATCTGCAAAGCAGGTGGTCATTTTAGGATTAGTCGGCTTGCATAGCGGGTTGGATATCCAGGTTAATCAAAAAAAAAAAATATATATATATATATATATATATATATATTCATAAACTACTTTTAATTCCTTGATCATTTTATATACGTTTTCTACCATTGTTTAACATATGAAACTATTAACACTCCTTTGGTCCTTTCGTACTAGAGTTTGTCTTCTTCGAATGTGAGTCGTTTTCAGATAAGAGACGAGTACAACAACAACATAAATACAAATATTTTGGGGGGAATGAATCTTAAACTCATCATTATAGGTATAAAAATTATGTCACCGTACCAATTTGATCATGAAAAACCTAATAAATCGAAGATGATTTGTCGCATAAGATGCAAGTATTTCGTTCATGAATGTTCTTTAATAGGATAGTTTCGTAACCTATAATTTAACTTGAATCGTTTATAAACAATGATGTTGAAAATGTAGTTAAAAGACAATCAATCTGACCAATTTTCTTTGGGGGGGGGGAACTGAAGCCATGTGAATGCCTTAAGTTTTCTTAGTTTTATCCCTCCTGAGTGGTCCTTACAGAAATGGGTTACGATTTCCGCAACAATTCTCTTCGATTCAATGTGGTACTTCTTCTATATGGCGTTAGCTAACAACGTCGTTTTTGGTAATTTTTTACATGTATATTAATTGCTTATGTAGAAACGAATTAAAAAACCGATATTGGAAATTTTATTTACTCCATTAGGGTTTTTAATATAATCATGATCATATTAAGAATTCTTTAGGCTTGATTAATACACAAAGTTTCATGTGTACGTAGTGTCCTAATCCAATAAACTCAATACACAATATAACATGAACCGGGTTCCTATTGTCGATGAAGATTTAATTACCCATCAAATGCCATTATATTGGACTAGCTAGCGTTATTCGTGTTACCGGTAGAATCTTGGTTCAAAACTCATAAAAAATGAGGAGTGTATGTGTGAATTTTAGGGGGTGTTTGAGATTGTTTATACGAAACAATTTATGTTTTTCTACAAAAGCACTTATCAACTTATTATAAGTCAGAAGGGTTTAACTTCTTCAAAAACTCTTTATTACCGGTTTGGCACCAGTATAAGTTGTTTATCCAAACACTCAAAAATACTTATTACCGGTACCACACTGGAATAAGTCAATAAGTTGAATTTTCTTTTATAAGAAGATATTCCAGTCAATAAGTTGAATTTTCTTTTATAAGAAGATGGTATTCCAACTAATAATCAAAACTAGGTACTTGGTCAAACCTGCAAGTAAGTAATGAATATCCTAACACTACTGTGGATGCAGGAAAATTGCTAGTACTAAGTTAAGTTTGCATAAATCTTGAATAATTAAATCGTACAGATTAAATCTTTTATATATATTAATTGGTTTTTGTTTATATACAAATTAGATGCATATGTGGGGCCATGGATCTCAATACAGGAGAGGGCCTGAATCACTAAGAGGAAGACAACCAAGTGGAATGCTTAGACTACCATGCTACTGTTGTGCACCAGGGTGTTGCAACAACATCGACCACCCAAGGGCTAAACCACTCAAGGATTTCCGAACCCTTCAAACACATTACAAACGTAAACACGGGGACAAGCCGTTCATGTGCCATAAATGTGGTAAGCCGTTTGCGGTTCGCGGAGATTGGCGAACCCATGAGAAGAATTGTGGAAAGATTTGGTATTGCAGTTGTGGATCTGATTTTAAGCATAAAAGATCATTGAAAGATCATGTGAAGGCATTTGGGAATGGTCATGGAGCTTTTGAAGTTGATCATACTTGTTGCTTTGAGGTAGAACAAGAAGATGATACTGCTTCAGAGATTAATGAGCAATGATTTGTTTGAGTTTAATCCAACTGGTACCTGTTTTTGAGACTGAATTAAATGTGTGTTGAATTGAAAATATATATATATATACATTATTTGAAAATCACATATATATATATATATACATATATTAAGAGTAATGGATCATTGGTTATATATACATACATATATATATATATATATATATATGTGACTTAATTTTCTTGATTTGTTTTGTAATATTCTTGAAAAGTAGAAATGAATGGTATTGGTGGAGGAAAATGAAAGGTTGGTTTGGAGTGATGGCGACAAAGGGGAGGAACAAAGGGGATATTGCAGTGAAAGGTCAAATCAATACATCCAAACATTCAGATGTTATGTTCCATCCATCAGTTCTCATCTCTGAAACTTTAGTCATACACAGATACTACCACAAGCACTTTTTTGTAATCATTCAGATCAAACAACCAGTAAACATCCATCGCTATTGGGTTACGGGTTCTTTGTTTACCTCTTAATAGTTTTATTAAAAGATAATTTCTAAATTTTTAATAGGTGAATTTTGTTTGGCAAAAAAAAAAAGTCTGCCTCTTAATAGTTCTAAAACCCTCTGAATGATTTTATATCATGGATCTTCCTTAACTATTAAGAGCCATAATTTCATTGTACACAATTACCAAACAATTATATTTTATTTTACACTATATCATGAGAGCATGTTAATCATTCTGACCACTTAATCATTCTCCACCAAATCATTCAGCAATTGTCAAACAGCCCCTTAGATTAAATACATTCAGATGTTAAGGTTTTAGCTATGCTAAAATACAGAAAGAATGATTTTGACAAAAAAATTTCACTTCAACAGTTATTATATTTTGTATGTTAAAATAGAGAAAAGAAAACAAAAAAAATCTTCAAATAAAAGGAGAAATTATTATTTAAATACTTTCCACCAATAAGAGGTTTTTATAATAAATTTTAAGAGGTATTTATAATAAATTTTAAGGTATTTATTTAATATATGATGTATTGAATATTTTAATAATATAGTTAATGTTAGAATTGCTAAAATAAAGTATTGTTGGAGTTAAATATAATTTTTGTACAAATTTTAATTTTTAAATAAAATATAACATAGTTGTTAGAGATGCTCTAAAGTTTTTTCACAACTTTTTTTCTTTCACATCATCAGCAACCTCAACAACTTAAAAATCTCACCATACCACCACTATGTCAAAAATCTCACTCAAGTTTTTCATATCATTTTCAAACTTTTAGGGTCCATCATTTAAGTGTGTATTATTTATATTCTTATTTATAAAAATCAATATATTAAAATTTGTACAAATACATATTATTTATGTCGAAAAAATATTATTACTTTAGCTATGTGTTTATTTTACAAGAAAACCATATAAATTGTATATATTATATACAATAAAAAAAATAAAAATTGGATTATGTATAAACTATATACAATAAAAATTAAAAGTATGCACAATAAAAAAATAGATTATCAAAAAATGGGTAAAAATTGTATAAAAGTATGTAAAAAAAATTTAAAAAAGTTAAATTTAAAAGTATGTACAGATAAAAATTATTACTTTCATTATGTATTTATTAATTATTTAAATATGATTATTTTAATTATATAATAAATAAAAATTGATTAAAAATGAAACTTTTATAAAACTTTATAAAGTTAAACTGATTAAATATGAAAAAATTCTAAAAAAACAGGTCATGCAGCCTGTAAACAAATCGAACAGACACGAACAAAAAACTTGTTCATATTCGTTCGTTTAACTTAACCAAACAAAAGAACAAACACGAACGATAAACGAACAAAATTTTTGGTGTTTGTATTCGTTCGTTTAGAAAATGGGTATGTTCCTGTTAGTTCATATTCATTTATTAAGATGTTAGACGAAACGTAAACTGAAAAACACTAAAAAAAAATTAGACTTAAACAAACACAAGGTGCATTGGCTTATTTTTTGGGAAGAAACCATCAGCCAAGGAGCTGATCTAAGTTGGAAACCATTTCTTGGATTCAGTTTTTGTCCCGATTGTGGAAGGCGAGAGAGAAGAGAGAAAAAAAAATGCTTTCATGGTTAAAGCCTTGAAGGTCTAAGAAGTTGTGTAATCCAATGTAAAATGTTTGACAATTGTTGAATGGTTTGGTGCAGAATGATTAAGTGGTCAGAATGATTAAGAGGCTCTCATGATATAGTGCAAAATGAAATATAGTTGTTTGACATTTGTTTACGATGAAATTAGGGCGCTTAATGGTTAAGGGAGACCCATGATACAAAACCATTCAGAGGGTTTTAGAACCATTAAGAGACAGACCTTTTTTTTGCCAAACAAGATTCATATCTTAACGATTCAGATGTTGCATCTTAATGAAACTATTAAGAAGTAAACAACAACCCCTAAGATTATTGCTCTTTGTATGGTTTTCCATTCATTTATGGAGTTTGTCTTCTAGGTTAAGCTTTTTGATTGATTTCATTACATGTGGGTATGAGAGATTCCATGGTATAAGTGTTATTGTGATTGTTCTTCGAATGGAGTTTTGGGGTTTTTGACTCGATTATCCAATTTAGAAATCCTTTGAGAAATCTCACCATGAAAAATGATGGGGTTTTCATTTAGGAAAGAGTTATTGTTTAAAAGAGTTTGAGGACTTAATCTTTGTGTTTTTAGACTTTTGAGATCGACTTTGGAAAGCTTGATTGTGAGAAATCTGGAATTGGGTCAAGAAGTGAAATCGTGCAGGTCACACAGTAGGGTATGCGACCTCAGCTGCCACTTAGGTCGCATGGGAAAGACATCCAGTGGGTGGTGCGACTAGCGTCACGACTAACGCGTATTATTTGTTATTCAACTCAATTTCATCTCATCATTCGCCAGATTCAGCATGATAACCGATTAATGCTTCCAGCAGTTATCTGGGTACTTAAATGTTTAAAATTTTACATCTTAAGTTTCAAAATGAAAGTTTTTGAAAGTACGTTACCCAAAATAATAATCAAGTTAAACTATATCATTTTTTCATTCAATTTACCCAAATATTAAAACTTTGAATGTATAAAAAAGATAAACAATATATATATATATATATATATATATTTATATATATATATATTGTTTATCCTTTTTATACATGGAAGCTGTTTACTAAACATTTACCAGGTCAATTGCATTATTCAGGTGAGCATAGGAAAGACATGGATCTTATCCGGTAAAATGGAAGACAAGAATTGAGAGTTTTATCCAGTAAGTAAGATGGTGATTTTTACTTAGTAAGTCCTTAACAGGTGATAAATGCTTACCATCAATCTATTTTAATGTTCGATAATATAACTTAATAAGGTAAAAAAAGGATGATAATTAATATAACAAATGGGACAAGGAGGGATGGTGGTCATCAATTGGGGGCGGTGTGGTGGGGTGAGTGGGTCGAGGTGTATTTTATAAGTCATTAATGCTTACAAATTATAAAGGTTTTATTACTGATCATTTACTAACGTGTTACTTGTAAGTGCTTGTCGAGTGTCTTTAAGAACAGTTTTACTAAATACTTATGGGAAGCGTTTATATGAATAGTCATCGACCTCAATTATATTATTGGGTAAAATTCTCGACCATTAAAATGGATTTTTGGTAAACGTCTCTTGCCCTGTAAACATTGACCAAGTACGAGTCTTCTCCCTCACTAACCGGGTAAGATTATTGGTTCTTGTCATGTTTGACGGATAAAGTAAGGAGTCATTTACCGAATGCTTGCTAATAACCTTACCTTAATTGTCGGGCGAGCATGACAATAACTAAAAATCTTACCCGGTAAGTAAAAGAGAATACTTTTTACCTTGTTAACATTTAAGAGGCAGGATACACTATTCCATTTTGATGACCAATAATGTTATCCAACAACGTAAGTGAGGATTGTTACTCTTATCGATAAACGCTTACTCGTTAAACATCTACAAAAAGAACCCCTACATTTATAAAATGGTGAACCAACACACGTATTTTATCATTTATTGATTTTAAAATTGTAGAAACGAATTGAATGATATATTTATTGCTTCTATTATTTTTCACAACCATTTTGGCTTGATTTAATGTAAATGAACACTGATTGTAACGTGTTCAATGTATGTCTTCAACTTTTCATCTTAAAAACCCGTTTAAAACGTTATGTTTGAATTAATGATTTCCGCACTCATTTTTCTTTCTAATAACCCAAAATAAAAGGCTGTTTTCTTCTATTATACATGAGTGTTTTATTTTATTAAAAATAGTTGTCCGATTTTTTGAATCGCATATGATAATTGGCTAGTTATTTGTACCCAAAAACGATATAGGCCCTATCAGGTTGGTGATATGCAAGATTGAGTGTCGTTACAACAATCGTGAAATTTCATCAAATAAGATGGTGTTTTAATGTAATTGGCTACTTATAATTTTGATTGGTAGAAGTTGGTATTGGAGTACTAGTATAATAATAATATCACATAATATTCGGTTTATAACATCGTTGTTACAAGTACATAATATATGTAATTTGTTTTTTTTTTTTTTTTTGTTAAAACTTAAACATGGGTGTATGATTTAAGTTGTGCGTACATCGACCAATGCTATTAGGGTTTGAAAAATACTAACTAGGAAAATCCTGATCGAATGGCTATGAGGAGACTTGGAGTAGCGATCTATGAGAAGGAGCCTGAATGCCTGATATTTATTTGTCAGTTGAGTTAGCCCTCATACTTCAGAAAAATATTCGTAATATGTTTATAGGATATGTAACGTGTTCATACTTTATATGTGTGTGTGTATATATATATATATATATATATATATATATATATATATATATATATATATATATATATATATACACAGAGGAGTGATCATATGAAAACCGCCCTCATTTGAGTAAACCGTGCAAACCACCTTCATCTGTCGATTTCATTGTTTAATCTTATGAAATTTTTTCATGAAATTGTTTAATCTTGTGA